GGGCCCGGGGGTGGGACCCCCAAACTTCAGCCGGGCCTGGGACCCCCAAACCTCAGCCGGACCCGGGAGCGGGACCCCCAAACCTCAGCCGGGCCCGGGACCCCCGAACCTCAGCCGGGCCGGGACCCCTAAACTCAGCCGGGCCCAGGACCGGGGCTGGGACCCCAGGCTGGGACCCCACAGATCTGAGACCCCCAAATCTGACCCCAAATGTGGGATCCCGGGATGAGACACTGGGATGGAACCCCAAATCCGAGACCCCAAATCTTCCCCCCAACCCAAACCACCCCAAAACTGACCCCCCTTTTCCTGACTCCCCTCCCTGCCCCCCATTCCTGCCCCCCAATCCCTGCCCCCCAGCTCTGCCTCAAGGCCCTGCGGGTGCTGCCGCAGCCGCCCCCCCCCGGGGGGGTCCCCGAGTGCTGCCTCAGGGTGACGCTGACCCCGCTGCGCCTGCACGTCGACCAGGTGGGCTGGGGGCTCGGGGGGCGTGGCGAGGGGGTCCGGGGTCTTCGGGGTGGTTTGGGGGGGTCCTCGGGGAGGTCGGGGGGTGGTTTTGGGGTATTCGGGGGGGTGGGGGTCTCGGGGGTGTTTTACTGGGGGTCTTTGGGGGGTCTCTGAGGTGTTTTTGGGGTGTTTTGGGGGTCTCTGAGGTGTTTTTGGGGTGTTTTCAGGGTGTTTTTGGGGTGTCCTGGGGTGGTTTTGGGGTGTTTTGGGGTCTCTGGGTGTTTTGGGGTGTTTTCAGGATGTTTTTGGGGTGTTCTGGGGCGGTTTTGGGGTGTTTTGGGGTCTCTGTGGTGTTTTTGGGGTGTTGTTGGAGTGTTTTGGGGTCTCGGGGTGTTTTTGGGGTGTTTTGGGGGTCTCACGCTGTCCCTCCCCCCAGGACGCGCTGATCTTCCTCAGGGATTTCGCCGGCGCCTTCCTCGCCCACCTGAGCCCCCCCCCGGGACCCCCCCCGGGACCCCCGCCCGGTACCGCGGCCGGGGGGGAGGGGCTGGGGGGGGAGGGCCCTGGGGGGGGAGGGGCTGGGGGGGAGGGGCTCCCGGCTTTGGGGGTCCCCTCACTGTTCCCCTCCCCCCCTCCTCCTGCAGGCCCCCCCGGGGTCAGGGACCCCCCCCGGCCGGAGCCGCCCCCGGAGCGGGACCCCCAAACGGAGACACCCCCGATCTACTTCCGGTGGGGCTGGGGGCACTGGGGGGAACTGGGGGGGATTATGGGGGACTGGGAATGGACTGGGGGGGAACTGGGGGCACTGGGGGGAACTGGGAGGGATTGGGGGGGCTGGGGGGGACTGGGAGGGAACTGGGAGGACTGGGGGGGACTGGGCTGTCCCAGGCTGACGGCGCTCTTCCTGTCCCTGTCCGTCTGTCCCTGTTCCCCTGTCCCTGTCCCTCTGTCCCTGTCCCTGTCCCTGTCCCTCTGTCCCTGTCCCCATCCCTGTCCCTGTCCGTCTGTCCCTGTCCCTGTTCCCCTGTCCCTGTCCCTCTGTCCCTGTCCCCATCCCTGTCCCTGTCCCTCTGTCCCTGTCCCTGTTCCCCTGTCCCTGTCCGTCTGTCCCTGTCCCCATCCCTGTCCCTGTTCCCCTGTCCCTGTCCCTCTGTCCCTGTCCCTGTTCCCCTGTCCCTGTCCGTCTGTCCCTGTCCCCATCCCTGTCCCTGTCCGTCTGTCCCTGTCCCTCTGTCCCTGTCCCTGTTCCCCTGTCCCTGTCCGTGTGTCCCTGTCCCCATCCCTGTCCCTGTCTGTGTGTCCCTGTCCCTGTCCCTCTGTCCCCAGCGAGTTCCGTTTCATGGCCGATGTCCCCATCTGGCTGGATTACCGCGGCAAGCGCGTCACCATGGAGCAGGTGAGGGGGTGACAGGGGGTGACAGGGGGTGACAGGGGGTGACAGCCGTGGCCGTGTCCCGGTGCCACCATTCCCCAATGACCCCGCGCTGTCCCCTCTCTGTGACCTCTCCCTGTCCCCCCGTGTCCCTCCCTGTCCCCCGTCCCCGTGTCCCTCCCTGTCCCCGTGTCCCCCCTGTCCCCGTGTCCCCCCGTGTCCCTGTGTCCCTCCCTGTCCCCCTGTCCCCCCCGTGTCCCCGTGTCCCCTCCGTTTCCCTCCCTGTCCCCCTGTCCCCCTGTCCCCGTGTCCCAGGGCGCCCTGGCCGGGATCCTGATCGGGCTGGCGCGGCTGAACTGCTCCCAACTGCGGCTGAAGCGGCTCTGCCACCGCCAGGGGTGCGGCGGGGACGGGGACAGGGGGACAGGGAGACACGGGGGACACGGGGGGACAGCAGGAACACGGGGGGACAGCGGGACACAGGGACACGGGGGGACAATGGGGGGGATACTGGGGGATACTGGGGGGACAATGGGGGGCACCGGGAGGACAATGGGGACAGAGGGGTCGGGTGGGCACTGGGAGCAAGAGGGACACTGGGGGACACTGGGGGACACTGGGGGGCACTGGGGACAGGGGGGGACACTGGGGTGGACATGGGACAAAGGGGCCGGTGGGGGCCTGGGGTTCTGTGTGACCCCAGACTCGCCGTGCCGTGTCCCCCCGTGTCCCCCCGTCCCCCAGGCTGCTGGGGCTGGGCCGGGTCGTGTCCTACGCCGTGTCCGAGTGGCTCCGGGACATTCGGTGTCACCAGCTGCCGGGGCTGCTGGGCGGGGTGGCACCGGTGCACGCCGTGCTGCAGCTCTGTGAGTGGCGCCGCTGGCACCGCTGGCCCCTGTGCCAGTGGCACCAGTGTCCCCCTGTCCCCAGTGTCCCCCTGTCCCCAGTGACCCCAATGTCCCCCTGTCCCCAGTGCCCTCGTTATCCTTCCAATCCCCCCCCAGTCCATCCCAGCCCCTCCCAGTTCCCCCCCAGT